TCAAATGAGCATATTTCACTCCAAACTCTTCCAAATCCCGAACCGACCATCCCTGCAAGTCGTAAATTAGTTAAAGCAAGCGTGAGAAGTTTTATTTAAGGGAACGAGATTCCAAAAGGCAAAACGACCGGTCAGGTCGTACATTTTGTTATTATATCTTAAATTTAACATCAAATTCATGGGAATCTAGAGGAAAATTTGGGATCTTTCAAAAATATAAATGATGATTTGAAGGACCAATATATGGTTGAACTCGTATCGAAATGGATTTATAAATTTTGTCTGGTTCCGAGGTGCGGGCCCGGGGAGTTGACTTTTGTTGACTTCTTGTAAATTGTGTAAGAATCATAGTTTTGTTAATTAAAATTGGTTCCTCTTGCATTGTTTGATGTATTCAAGTCTCTTTTGGCTAGATGGAGCCGAGCGTTAATGAATTGGTAAAGGAAAAACTAAATTGAGTATTGAATTGGCCAGATTGAGGTAAGTATCTTGCCTAACCTTGTGTGGGGGACTTCACCTTAGGATTTGAGTATTCTATGCTAATTGTAGTCCGTACACGCGGCGTGACGAGTGTGTCCTCGGACTTATTTGTGAAATTTTTTTCTTTAGGGTTCTTAGGTCCGTATGTTCAATAAGTGAGAAGTTTTCCAATATGATTGGATTTCCTAATTGGTTGTTTTACCTCTATATGCTCCATACGATGTTGTCAGCTTTCCTCTAACTCTTACTTGTTACTTGGCCCTTATTTCCCTTAATTGAAGTGATTGTTCTCCTTATTGTTTTGTTATCTCTTAATTGTGAATCCCTCTATGACTCCGTGCATATATGCTATATGTCCAAATTGTTGTGGTTGTCGGTGTAGTTATCACGTGCCTTATATATCTTGTTGTTTGTAAAGGTTGTTCTGTTTCTTGGTTTTCCATGACTCTCTTGTTGTCGTGTACTCATACCCTTGGTGGTAGAAATCCTTGTGTTCGGGTTGTTGAGTTGTTGTCATTGTTGTTATTGATTTTAAACTATGTTTGGTTGTTGATATGTTGAGGAGGAATAAGGGAGAATTGATATTGTTTGGTGGGATCGGATTGCACACCGCAATAAAGAGTAATAAGGGTGGACAAGTGGGATGGGGTTGTGCGCCGCAACATGAGTAATAAAGGTGATATGTATTGAGGAGTAATAAGGGTGGACTGGTGGGATCGGGTTGCACGCCGCAACAAGGAGTAATAAGGGTGGACTGGTGGGATCGGGTTGCACGCCGCAACAAGGAGTAATAAGGGTGAAAGATCATGTTATTACTGATGTGGTGATATAAATACTATTTACTCTTATTATAATTATTAAGGAGGAATAAGGGAGGATCAGTGGGATTGGGTTGCATGCCGCAAAAAATATATACTATTTACTTTATTGTAATTATTGAGGAGGAATAAGGGAGGATTGGTGGGATCGGGATGCATGCTGCATCAATATATATGGTTATGTATTCCTCTTTGACTGTACAAGTTATCCGATGGTTTTAGATTTCATTTAGGATTTGGCTATAGATGAATACTGCGAAGATCCTAGTTCTCTTATTTAAGACTTTCTAATTTGCATTTCGGGCTTCACTGAGTCGTGAAGATTGAGTTATTGGCATTGAGTTATTGATTTGTTGTTGTTCCTTAAATTCTTATCCTGAAACTATCACTCTGGTGAATTAATTTTCAAAGTAAATTTACTACTTTGAAACATTCTTCTCCTGTCCTGTTGAGTTATTAGAAATATCGTGATTAAAAATAAAGGAATTTATACTACGCTGCTTTGTATGACTTTTAAACGTGAACACGCCATATTTATATATAAATATATTTCAATACTTCAAATTTCAATAATTTTTATATTTTTAATTTAATTAGTTTCTCAATTAAATTTCCTTAAACCATCGGAGATTGTATTTTATTTAAAAAGGAATTTCTACTAAGTTTCCCATGTTAAAGGTGACAATTCATTCGATGTTGTACTTTAATTGAAAAGGAAACTTTCTTTATTTAAATGAATTCTAAAAATAACTTCATTTTTTTCTGATTTCCTAATTGGTTTAGAAGTTGTACTCTACTTTATATTATGTAAATGAGACTCCTTGAACATCTTAATTGTATTGGTTATGGACCCTATGTGTTGAATAATACGAGGATGTTGTTGTGCAAGTGAGATAGTAATATGTGGGCACAAAGTGCCGGGTATGCTAAAGGTTTTGGAAAATGAGATTATGATATGAGACATCGAGTTCTGAGATGGCCGAAATTGTTCATCATAAATGATATGATTGATTGAGTTGACACTGTTTTCCTTATTTGAGTATATTTTACTTGTCTGTGCTCCAGCTTTATTAGTGTTAATTTACTTGGTTATCTTTTATTTCCATCCGTGTTTTTCTTTTATTGTTTCTACTATTTGTAGTTTGATTTATCCCCGCCGTTGATATTACTTTGTTATCTTATTCTCGATATTTTATTATCATATCCTGTTCAATTGGTTTGACTAGTAGGTGTCTTGATTGTTCCTCATCACTACCCCACCGAGGTTAGTCTTGATACTTATTGGGAACCGTCGTGGTGTGCTCACACTACATTTCTGTACATTTTTGAGTACAGATCCAAGTATTGATTAGTAGTAGCTGTGCGGATCGTCGTGGTAGAGACTCAAGGTAATCCTGCTGGTGTGTTCGCAGGCCTCGGGGTCACCTTCGTATATTTACTTTCATTGGTTCCTTCCTGTTCTGGAACAATGTCGTATTTATTTTGTATAACTACTCCTAGAAAGGCTTATTACTTGTACCACCGGTTTTGGGGAATTGTAATTGTTCAGAGTTATTTAATATAAAGTTGGTAAATATCAATGTTATTTCAGTTAATAACGGTTTACCTAGTTTAGAGACTAGGTGCCATCACGACTCCTTCGGAGGGATTTTGGATCGTGACAGATAAGAAGTTTTTCCAATTTCAGTGACATTAATCAAAATGGGATTAATTATTTAATTTTAGAGTCACCACTTGGAAAAAATATGGTGTCCCAAGTCACCGGTTTTTTTTTAAATCCCAAATCGAGGAAGATTGGCTCTATTTTTGGTCCGCGAACACAAAAGATCAAGTAAGGAATTATGTTAAGCCGGGAGAAGGTGTTAGGCACTGCCGAGTTTCGTAGTTTTAGCACGATCACTTTAATCATACCTAGCTTAATTAAAATTATTTAGTTACTCATTTTAAGAACCTATGTACATTTTACCTTTTACCGCTTTTAATTATGTCGTTTATGAATTTATTCTTTGAAAATGTGTGTAAGTATACTTTATATGGGGCGTTAAAATCATGTCACGCATATGTCTATACAATTGATCACCCTTTATTAATTTTAAGATTGTTTGGTCGAAGTTGCGCGAACGCATACCACGATTTAATTTTGGAAATCGTAATTATGTCACGCTAATGTGTACACAATCACAATAATAAGTTAAGCACCTAAAAGCATTGCTACGAGTGTTTATTTTGTAAAATCGCAATCGTGTCATGCAAACGTGTACATGGTCATGATGGTTTGATTAATTAAATGTGTCTAAAAGCATATTACTGTCTAATTTCCTAGAATGACGGATTATAAGAGAGGATTTCAAACCAAAGGCATTAAATTAAGAAAGGCTGTTGTAATTAACTGACTTCGAAAATAATCAGGCTTGTCCTAACATTTTATTTTTAGCCAAACTAATTCGATATACAACGTTGCTCGTTCTCTTTACCAAGGTTAACGATTTGGGGGGGAGGGGTAGATGACATTAAATTCCTATAGCAACATGGGAAAAGTCCAAATGGGCTGTCCAGGCTTGTCTACCAGACAGGCTTTCGAATTGGACTCACTTATGGAGTCTGGGGGTAAAAATTGCACGGGACGCTCTATTTGTTCGCCCCCATTTAAGCTAACCTATTTTTTAAAAACTTTTAACTTGTACCCACTTTTTAAACAATTTCAGCTCCCTTGATCCTCCCCTTCAGTACCTCACCAGAAGAAAGCAAGGTTGTATTTTAACATTTATAAATAACGATGGAATAGTAGTATCAACAAAGTGAAGAGAAAATGCAGCTTTTTATCTGCATAAATACTAAAGAGGAACTAGATTTTGATAAGAATTGGTATCCAAGTTCTTTGTGCATTTAATCTTTCTCTTTCTGATGTTTTTTTCATCTACAGATATTTCTCTACTGGACAAAATGGTGATATATGATAATGAAAAACAACGAGTTAGATGGCTTCCAGCAAACTGCAATAGGCTACTACTACCAGATAAATTACTCATAAGCATGAACAAATACTCTATGACTAAAAATCTCAACGAGAATCACCAAAGTTATAGCAGCTATCTAACGGAATATTAATTTGAAGTTAACTTAGAAATATCAAGCTAGCTTAAGGCTGAAGTTTCCCAGTTACAACACAAAAACTTCAGCTCTAGAGCTGAAGTTTCCCAGTTACAACACAAAAACTTTAGCTCTAGAGCTGAAGTTTCCCAGTTAAACACAAAAAGTTTCCAGTTACAACACAAAAACATCAGCTCTAGAGCTGAAGTTTCCAGTTACAACATAAAAACTTCAGCTCTAGAGCTGAATTCGCCAGTTACAACACAAAAACTTCAGCTCTAGAGCTGAACTTCATGCCCGGCTACTAGAATGCTGAAGTTTTGCGTGATTGCCTTTGCTACTTCAGCCCCATTTGCTGAAGTTATGCGAAAAAGCGGGTACGCTTGCAATATTTTTTGCAAAGCGGGAACAAGTTAAAATATAACACAAAAGCGGGTATAGATGCAAATGCCCCAGCAGCCTGGGCACATCCTGCTAAGCCTTAAATAAACTATCAGCTGGGTTCACTATTAGAGATCAAATTCAATTTAAGGGAACTCTACTAATTTGGGCTTGCAGAGTAACCAGGACCAATGCACAATTTTAATTCAGAAACAGATTCTCATAAGACTATCACTATAAAGCTATAGAATCAAATATGCATGTATTTAACTACAACAGGTTTAAAATAGTACAACAGGATCAACTATTAAATTAACTTATCAATACAAAAGAGGTAAATAAATTAAATCAATGCAAGTCATTACCTAACTACAACCCAACGAGTTCCATTCCTTTTATAAATAAGGAAGCAGAACTGTACATTATTGCTCCTAACCACCTTCTTCAAACATTATCCAGAAAGAGAAAAAAATGATTTAGGCTAGTGACTTTTTTAATTCCCTTGTTGATCTTGATTTACAATGAGATAGCCACTAGGATACTCTTATAAATTACTTGACCACCAGCAGTAGCTAAACATATAAATGCAAACAAGATTAGTCTAACTGTTGAGTAATTCCAGAGTTTACTCAAAGAACAATTCCATTTTAAAAACCGAAAATATAAACACAAACTGATTCACAAATCATCCCCTACAAACACCATTTCAAGCATGAACCACATATTCAAGGAAATAAGTCATTATACAGGGAACAATCAATCAAACATGGAGATGTTTTGAGCATGAAAGAACCTTTAAACTAGATCAATGGGCTATATATGATATTAGACTTGAATCATGACTAAACTACAAGATAACATGTAATTGAAATTATTTACGAGCAACAGCAGGATCAACAAAGTAAAACTCCTCATTTCAGGTTGTGTAAACGTAAAAACATCACACCAACACCTCTGAACCTCTTAAGCTCATATTGACACATAAATTAATAATGAGTTTGAACCAAACCAGTCAACATAGCCTACATATTCAGCTTCAAATTAATTAGCAGAATCGTATAGCCATCAAGAGAAACATAGATGAATCAGATCTAAGCACACCAACATCAGAAACACATAGAAATAGATGTAGATAGGGCATCAATATATTAATTCTGTATTTCCACATTCACCAAAGTTACAAGAAGGAATATCACATACCTACTTGTGAAAGACAGTCAACAAAAGCCAAATAAAGGCTGAAAACTGAAGAATAAGCTCAGCAAACTCAGACAAAACATAAGCAAGCTAACAAAAGATCAATAATGAAATCCCACAATGAAACTTGACCTCAATTCCAAATCAGCTTCAGAAAATCAAGGTTGATCTAGAAAAGAAACCAAACTTATGACACCTTTTTTTTCAACCAATATATGAAAGAAACTGAAACTTGTAAAAGAAAATTTCTAAGATAAAATTCTGCCTCCAAAGCAATCTAAAGGTGAAAGAAAAGAAGCTGAATTTCAGACAGAGGTTTTTCACGTGGATAATATGTGTGTAGATCTGTCTGTTTGAGTGATATATGACCCTTTATATAGAATATAAGAGTGTGCTTTTGTGAGGAAAAATCATAGGGGTGTGAGGGAATCTTTTGGGAATTCTGTTAGCTCTTTTGTACCAGAAAATGGACAGATATCTCAACAGCTATCTATACAGATTTTTCTCATGTATTTTAGGTCCATTTACTTCTGAACTTACTCATTTCTTACCCCAATCTGACGTAGTTTTTAGTTATTTTATTACACTTTAGTCTTTTTTCTAGAAACTTCCTAGACAATTCCAAACTTAGACTCCTTGATTTTTGTTTCCAATTAACCCCCACAAAGTTTCCGTTATTACCCTTTCACTCTCCCAGATTCCAATCAGCATTCAATCATCAGAAATTAAACAATTAAGGGCTAAACAAAGATTAAAAACAACAAAAACAACTTATTAAATAAACCTAGTTAAACCAACTAAATTGATTAATATTGATTTAATTAACCTAAAGCAAATGACTAAACTAGTGCAATGAACTAATTAGTCCAACTTTCACTGAATTTAATCAAATCACTAAACTAATCTAAGCATAAATTAACACCTAAATTCAAAACATAAAGAAAAAGAAAAACCGCAAAAGAAGAAAACGAAAAGAAAAATAGAAACAGAGGAATAGGGAAAATGAGATACAGATTTTTGCCGAGATGAAGGAGCGATTGAGACGAATCGATAAATAATGATGGCGACGAGGCTTTGGTCGGTGAGTGGTAAGTTGGCTGGAATCCAGCGACCTTGAAATGATCTAAAATTGGTATCAATCGATTATTCTTGTGGAAGAACAGTTGATCATTACGAATTTTAGGCCAAACGAGCCAGAAACTCAAAGAAAACAGAAAGGGAGGTGGACTAGGGTTTTTATTTATTTTTTGGAATCTCATATTTTAAATTGAAGAAAATGGTTAGGGATTTTGGAGGAATTTATGGTAGTATAGTGATGAGCGGAGGCTGGAGATTGTGTGGTTAAATTTCGGGGTGGTTTGGGGTGTCGCCGCCATCGTAGGCGATTTCCAGCGGCGATTCCGGGCGGAGGTGAGAGAGAGGGTGATATAGGTTAGATACGGAGAGCGAGGGGTTCTTTGGGGGATAGGGGAGTCGGTTAGGACATATATACGGCATTGGGAAATCAGTTCCCAGCCGTTAGATATTAATTGATCAACGACTGAGATTAGGAGTACAGAAACGGGGTCATTTGGTTAGTTGGGGAGACGGGCTAGGAGTGGGGATTAGGCTGGGAAAATGGCTAAGGATTTGGGCAAGTGGATTTAAGACTTTGGGCCATTATTTTTTGGCCCATTCCGAACAAGACTAAAAAAACTTTTTTTTTTCTTTATACATTTTTTAACCTTAAATCTTAATTAATTAAAACCTAAATTAAGTCCTAAATTAATCTAATTTGTAAAAATTAAAATTATCTATCTATTTCTACAACTAACTTACTTACAACTAAAAAAATACTAATTTTAAAGACTAAAAGCTAAATATGTAAAAATGGTCATTTTTGTGATTATCTTAATAATACAATTAACTTAATGTAATTAATTCCTAAATGCAAATAAATATAAAATGTTATACAATGAATATTTTAGACTTTTTTGGTATTTTTTATAATTTTAAAATATTAAACATGCTACTAAAATGCAAACAACAATTAGCAAGAAATTTCTAAAACTAATATAAAATTAAAATAATTAAAAACAAATTTATTTTTTTGTGAATTTGTAGGAGTATTTTTTCGTCAAGCAAAAATCACGTGCTCACAAATGCCCCTCTTTGCTCGGAAATACGAAGGGTTTTTGGGCAAAGATAAAGTGAGCAATTACGAGCGATTTTTACCCGTTTGAATACTCCATGGGAAGCATTTTGATAAAGTTTGACCGAACCTTGCTAGAGGTTGCCTACATATCCTTGGCTATAAAGGAATCATGTCAGTGTAGTTCTGGAACTTTTGATAGCTGGGACTACCGAAAAACTATGATTTTACTGTTGTTGCTGCTGTTACTGCTTGCTAAGCTCCTTATTACATCAAAATAAAAATGAAAAACTAAACTAACTAAGCCTATCAACTACGAGTTACAAGATTCCTATCTATACATCTTCTGAAGCTTGATCTTGAGTCTTGGCTGGTTCTTCAAACAGACTCTGATCTGAATGTTGATTCATGATTAGTTGCAAGTGCTAGTGTCATGACTCTAAACCCGAACCTGGTCGTGATGGCGCCTTTCGTGAAGACAAGGCCAGCCAATTAAACCCAATTCACTTTTTAAACAGTTAAAAGCAATCTAAAACATGATATAGCAATACTAAGTAGCGGATAATGTCAATAAAGTATGGATGTACAACCCAACATAGCCCTAACCGGGGTGTCACAAGTCATAAGCGTCTATAGGCTATAATACAAGTCTGCCAAATCCATAAACTAGCACAAATGTTTGAAGTGAAATGATAAAAGAGTAGAGACACGGGGCTGCAGATCGGATGTCAACAGCTACCTCGTAGTCTCTGAACGCTCGCCTGAAACTGGAGGAATCAGCACTCAGGAGCAAAACCAGCTACGCCTGAATCTGCACACAGGGGTGGAGGGAGTAAAGTAGTACTCCAACTCAGTGAGTAACAAATGTAAATAACGACTGAAAGTAAGAAAACACGTAAGGCACAAGGCATTCTATAATGAAGCAGTAAAACCATTTAAACGTAGAAAAACAGTGGAAAGTCAAGTAATCCTCCTTCAGCAAGTAAACAAGTAATTGACAGGTAATTAAGGTAAAGTAAACAAATAGAAGTTCGCCCCTCGGGCACAGTATCAACAAATCCGCCCCTTGGGCAATATCTCAGAACAATACCAGCCCCCCGGGCTCAATCTCACATTACAATGGGTACCTGCACTCAATGGGGGTGTGCAGACTCCTGGAGGGGCCCATTACGGCCCAATCGCAATAACAAGCCATCTCGTGACATCAAAACTAGGTCATCATCCTCATATCAATCAAGCCACATCGTGGCATATATATCTCAGGCCCTCGGCCTCAAATCAGTATCAATGTTTCCTCACAACAAGGCCCTCGGCCTTACTCAGTCAAAAATACTCACAAGCCCCTCGGGTAATAGTAAATAGTGTCTCGCAGCCCAAACATTATTTAAAATATCATTTAAGTCTTAAAATTGAGTATACATGAGTGAGTATGAAAATAATGAAAAAATAACAGGACTGAGTTCAAGTGTAAAGTCAAAACAATGAGGAAATATCAATAAAAATTCCCGAAGGGTTCAAATAGTTGGCACTAGGCCCAAATATGGCATTCAACCCAACTAATGATGATAGAAAATAATTTTCAATCAAATACGCGGTAAAATCATCAATCAGGACGGACCAAGTCACAATCCCCAATAGTGCGCGACCCCACGCTCGTCATCGAGCGTGTCCCTCACCTCAATATAGCACTACGATGTGAAATCCAGGGTTTCAAACCCTCAGAACATCATTCACAATCATTACTCACCTCGAACCGGCTAAATCTCTAGCTCGTAACGCCTTTGCCCCTTGAATCGGCCTCCACACGCGTCGAATCTATCCAAAATCAGAACGAATACGTCAACATATGCTAAGGGAACAAAGTCCAAGCGAAAACAATCAACAAAGGGCACAAATACCGAAATTACCAAAACCCGGCCTCTGGGCCCACATCTCGAAATTAAAAAAATTTCATATCAACGGATTCCTTATCTTCCCACGAGTTCATACATACCAAGAACATCAAATTCCATCCACAAAAGACCCTTCAAATCCCAAATGTTTGGTCTCCAATTTCAAGCCCTCGTTCTTCAATTTTAGGCTTAAATTCTATGATTTTCTATGTGAAATTCACATAGTAATCAAGTTTTAAGCCCAAAAATCTTACCTCCCAACGATTCCCCTTGAATCCCTCTTCAATCTCCTTCAAAAATCTCCCAAAATGACAAAATATGGAGGAAATAAACTCAATCTTCGCAGACAAGACGAGTTTAAAAACATTTCTGCCCAGGCATATTTTCCTCTTCGCGAATGCGGTCAAACCCTATGTGAAAGCAACGTGGCCATTGAGAACGCGATGGTTCCTCAATCCTTCCCTTCGCGAACGCACCCCTCTCTCGCGAACATGAAGAACAATCGCAACCTCAAATCAGCTGATCAAAAAGACCCTAAGCGAACGCGACCTACATCTCGCGAACGCGATGCACGAGTTTCCAGCCCTTCGCGAATGCGGAGCCTCCCTCACGAACGCGAAGGCTAAACTTCCACTGACCCCCACTGACTCTTCGCGAATGCGAGGGTCCACTCGCGAACGCGAAGAGTAAAAGCCTGATACAGCTGAACCTGCAACTTCTGCAATTTCCTAACTCCAAAAATGATCCATTAGACCACCCGAAACTCACCCGAGGCCCCCGGGACCTCAACCAAAGGCAGCACCAACATATGCTAAAACCTTATTCAAACTTGTTCCAATCATCAAAATACCTCAAACAACATCTAATCACCCAAAACACATCGGATTCAAGCCAAAGTTTCTAAAATCTTCCGAATTACGCTTTTGATGAAAAACCCAACCAAACCACGTACGAATGACCAGAAATTTTGCACACACATCCCAAATGACACAACAGAACTACTGCAACTCTCGGTATTCCATTCCGACCCATAGATCAAAATCTCGCCTACCAACCAGAAATCGCCAAAATATCAACTTCACCAATTCAAGCCTAAATCTACTACGAACCTCCAAAACTCATTCTGATTATGCTCCTAAGTCTAAAATCACCTCCCGAAGCTAACCAAACTATCAAAACTCACATCCGAGCCTTCTAACACATAAGTCAACATCCGGTTGACTTTTCCAACGTAAGCTTTCTTAAAAGGGACTAAGTGTCTCAAACCTTACTAAAATCATTCTGAATTCGATCCGACCAATCCGATAACATAAAACACGGATAACGAAGCATAAAGAAGTCAAAATGGGGGAAACGGAGCGGTAACTCATGAGATGACTGGTCGGGTCGTCACATCCTCCCCAACTTAAACAAACGTTCGTCCCCGAACAAATCAAGAAACATACCTGAAGCCTCAAACAGGTGAGGATATCTAATCTGTATCTCCCGCTCGGTATCCCAGGTAGCCTCCTCCATGGGCCGATCTCTCCACTACACTTTCACTGAATCTATATCCTTTGACCTCAACTTTCGAACCTGCCGACCCAAAATAACTACTGGCTCCACATCATAAATCAAATCATCATCCAACTGAACCATGCTGAAATCCAGAACATGAGAAGGATCCCCAATATACTTTCGGAGCATAGAAACATGAAATACCGGATGCACACTCGACAAGGTGGGCGGCAAAGCAAGCTCACAATCCACTTCCCCAATCCTCCGAAGCACCTCAAAAGGCCCAATGAACCGAGGACTCAATTTCCCTTTCTTCCCAAATCTCATAACACCCTTCATGGGCGAAACCTTCAACAGAACCTTCTCGCCAACCATGTAGGACATAACTCAAAACCTTCCTATCAGCATAACTCTTTTTCCTCGATTGCTCTATACGAAGCCTCTCCTGAATCACTTTCACCTTCTCCAAAACATCCTTCACCAAGTCTATTCCCAATAGCCTAGCCTTACCGGGCTCGAACCAACCAACTGGAGATCTACACCGCCTCCTATACAAAGCCTCATATGAAGCCATATGAATACTAGACTGGTAGCTGTAGTTATAAGAAAACTCTGCAAGCGGTAGAAACTGATCTCATGACCCTCCAAAATCAATGACACAAGCACGCAACATGTCCTCCAATATCTGAATAGTACGCTCGGACTGCCCGTCCGTGTAAGGATGAAAAGTTGTGCTCAACTCCACCTGAGTACCTAACTCTCACTACATAGACCTCTAAAACTGTGATGTAAACTGAGTGCCCCTATCTGAGATGATGGAAACTGGGATACCATGCAAATGAACAATCTCCCAGATATAGATCTCTACCATCCTCTCTAAGTATTAGATAGTACACATAGGAATAAAGTGTGCGGACTTGGTCAGCCAAT